CAGCTAATTGCCCACAAAGGATACCTATGGTGGCGTTTAGACGGCAGGTGCAGCGTCTACTGAGCCCGCCGCCTCGCTTGCTGCTGGTCGTGGGTTCGATGTTGCCAGCGCCAGATCTGGCGGCGACCACCATTTGCGCCTTGGTTGGTTCCTTGGTCATTTCCCCCAGTAGTGCCCTTCTCTGGGAGGGTTCCCCAACGAAAATAGACTGTTCTAGGGGTACCTTCCATTTCCATTCTTTCCAGGTATCCGAATCTTTTCAGGAAACGGCCAAAACCCAGGTTGGAAACAGATCCGGTGATTGAAAAGAACGATGGTGGAGAAGAATGGCAAAGGAGTCAACCCCATTCGAGTTCTGGTTTCAGCCACGGCATCTTAGGTGCGAAGGGATTTGATACCGAATCCTTCTCAAACTGGTGGACCCCCAAAGTGGGTCATTTGGGGAAACCAAAAGGACACCAAATGTGGCAACCATCAGTCATAGGTGTCGTTTTTGGTTGATTTGGTTGCAAAAATATAAGGACGATTTTCCCAAAAAGGCTACCTATGTCCACAGTATGATATGACTGTTGTTTCCTCAAGTGAAGGATCCCCAAAAAACCACCTATGACTTATCGCCAACAAATGTCCAGCACGAATGGGCTTAGCCTAAAGGACATCCTAAAATGGTGCAACCACAAAAACACACACACACCCATACCCCCTACTCCAAATACCCACGTTTTTTAGGGTATTTTTGGAGAAAACAAAACACATGGTTTTCTATGGTAAATACCGATCCCTTTTTTAGTAGAGGGTCGACATGATACCCTAAAACAGGCCGGGTATTTGGAGGTTGCGGGGGTAGACTTTGCAGAATGGCGCTATAGTGTTGCCGTGTATAGTGTTGCTACAGCATGGGGTTAGCCCAAAGGACATCCTAACATGGTAGTTAACAACAAAAACACGCCCAAATGGCTTTGTGTCAAAACCAATGGTACCATTTTGGGGTAGGTGCACCACCCATTTTCGAACCCATTTTAGTGGTTGGATTGGGGGGTACGACTTGGATTTTGACCCATGGCCATATGTTCAACCCTTCCGACGCCCAGCCTCAAAGCCCCCGAGTCCTCACGAAGAGCGCGGCGGCAGCCGCGGCCTTGCGTGACCGCGGCTTCGCGGCGGAGCTGCGGGCAGAGGCTGGGGGCACGGCGCCCGGGGCCGGGCCCTTTCGGTTTGGGGCGTCCCTTATTGGACAAACGAACAAGCAGGGATCTGGGGTAGACTTAGCATGCATTTTGCATTTTACCAGTGACTCCATGTGAAGCAAACAATAAAATATACATTCTCTAACTGGGCCTAACTCCAATCATGGGATGTGCGGAAGCAGGGATGGCATATTTTTCGGATCATATTTCGACATGGTTTCCTTTACAGGGAATCGTCGGACATCCCCGCTTCCCCTGTATCCCCGCGAATTTGTTTTCCCAACAAAAGCAAGGTACCCGAAAAGGGTGCGAATGAAGCCCCTCGTTTTTGGAGACTGGGGTGTTTGGGGTGATAGTTGGGCAAAAGTGTTGGAACCAATCACGAGAGTTAGATAGTGGGTTACTACAAATCCTTTTATTGCTTGCCAGCTCCCAGGCTATCTAAGCAGACCCTTGGCTCCTTTGAAGGAAAGCCAACAAGAGGTTGAAACAACTTTGGTTTGAACATGACACAGTCGAAAGGAGCTACGTGTCTGAAAGGGTGTGTCTGAAGTCCTTTTGATTTGGAGGCTGGGGGTTTGGGGTTATTTAGGTTGGGCAGACGTTGTTGAAACAATCACTTGACACGGTCCGAGAGGTAGCTAAGTGGTTAATTTGTAACCGCAATTGGCCCCTCGCAAAAGTCATTTTGTCTCGAGTTAACCATGTAGCCAGCACGCAGGCTGAGCAGACCGTTGCCCCTTTTAAAGCGAGGCCAAGAGGTTGCTCAAGCAAGTTTGGCTTGAACACAGTCGACCCAGCCCTGCACTCTTATATGGCCGCGTCCTTTGGGGGAAACTAATAGAAACCCATGAGCATAGGTGTCCCTGTTGGTTGTTTTGCTAGAAAAATAGATGGCCCTGGTTTACCTGGTGGTTTAATCATCTACCAGGGCCATCTATTTCCCCTAAAAGGACACCTATGCCCATGAGAGACCGACCCACAGATTTTCATTCAAAGGGTTCGACACTGAACAACCTAAGCCCCAAAGCGGCGCCCTCTTTCCAGGGGTCATGTGGGAAGCATTTTACATCCTCCTCGCCCAGATCCTGAAGCATGGAATTTGGGGCACCTGGGTGCCCCGGAATTTGGTACGTCTACGGAAAGGCTACAAGTGTGCCTCACAGGCAAAGAACGACTTGAAACATGGGGGTGGGTCAAAATTAAACCACCAGGGGGCCTTTTTGGTTCCCATTGTTGACCCACACCCACATGGGGGTGCTTGTTTTCACGGGTATCCTTTTAGCCCAACCAGCGCGTGACGCGCCTTGCACTTCCAAAAGCGACCCAGAAAGTGTTTTCCCCCTACTCCAAATACCCGGCTTTTTTTTAATGTTATGATGTCGACCCTCTACTAAAAAGCGGGATCGGTATTTACCATAAAAACCAGGTTGTTCCAAACATACCACCTGAAAAAAGTTGGTATTTGGAGTAGGGCATTAGATCAACAAGGCTATCCACCTTGGTTGGAATTCATCTAGCCGATTCGGTGCCGCCGGTTGACAGTGGCTGCGTTTGTGTTCTTTTTCAGTCCTGATGGCTTGCCTTTCCAACTCGAGTGGCTCGAGCTGCTTAGTGGCCAGGATACTGTGCCTTTCTTTTTCCCAAGGGGCTCCATGTGTTGAAGTAGGCAGACCCCCCAAAACTTGGCTCCCAGCCATCCGGTCCCTCAGCCTTTTAGCCTAGTGTTTAGTGGTAGTTTCGATTTGACCCACTAAAAGTTAAACTTTTAACGGGGGGATCTGCAACCAGTCCAGGAAAAAGATGTGGTTTTCCTGTTGGCTTCCTGTCCAACCAACCTGAAAAGGGTACCTCCAAAGCATACCCCCTACTGAAAAATACCCACTTTTTCTAGGGAATCTATTGAAAAACCTGGGCTTCCATGGTAAATACCGATCCCTTTTTTAGTAGAGGGTCGACATGATACCCTCAAAAGAATGGTGTTGGGTGGTTACGGGGTACACTTCCATGGCCTCAGATGGCCTCACACATGGCTTCCACCCCGCGTAGGTCTTGCAACGTGGCGCCCACGCGGTGGACGCCGTCTATCTTCAGGGAGGCAGGGGTGCGGCGGGGCGGCGGTGCGGCGGGGCGGCGCCCCCTAGGCGAGGCGTCTGGATCCCTCCTATTGCTCAAGAATATTTTCGATTTTCCCTTGTTGGTTTTGAAAGGAATTCATCACTGCTGGAAAAAGTTCTTGTTTTTTTAATTATTTTTTTCCTGGGGCCTTAACCAAATGGAAGGATCCCAGATGTGGTGTTGTTTTTTCGTGAAGGATGCCCACTGAAAAAGGTTGTTCGTATTGAACGACCAGGAGTGCAATAATCCTGGTTTAGAAGGCAAGCTCTTTTTTCGCGTTCGCTGAACCAAAGTGAAACACGTACCCTCAAGCACTGCCACACCAGCTTCTCGAGATACTGCTTGGCAACACTGATCAAAGACCATGAACTCGCTTGGGGTGATGTTTCAAGATACCAGATTCCAGAAATCCCCTCCCTCGCCCTAAAAAATGTTTCTTTTAGCTTGGTGGTTCCCAGCCATCCGGTTCCTTAGCTTTTTAGCCTTTTAGCTTTTTAGTGGTGGGTTGAATGGAATTTCCATTCAACCCACTAAAAGTTAGTCACTTTTCGCGGGGGATCAGAAAACGGGCAGCCCAGTTAGGAAGGTGAGTATCGTAGCATGGTCAAGACTCTTAGTGCCGGCATGGCCATGGACTCCACAGATTTCCACAACGAGGATTCCCTTTAGGCCGGCTACCATGGGCGTGGAAGTGTAACATTGGGGTTTGTGTTGGGCGTTTGTCCACCAACCATGTTTTGATTAAAAGCTGAGTTGCATGTCCATGCATGAGCCCATACCCATGTTGGACCCCCCTACAGGCTGATTTCCCTGTAATCCGGCTCTTCATTGACAAAAAACACATGGGTTGTACCACTTTTGGAGAATGTTTAAGAGGAAACAAGCAGGAAACCACCCATTTTGGGGGGGTGCCCCTGTTTCGAGACAAACCAATATATATATAGTTATATTGTACATATTTTGGCACGTATCCATGAGATGCTGCCGAACCACCTGATTGTGATTTCGGGGCCGCACTCCATCGGAGTTTTGACCATCGATGGTTGTCACATCGTTCAATGGGATGCACGGCACTATAGCGCCATTCTGTAAAGTCGATTTCTTACCACCCCCCCCCCCCCCGCGTTTTGCCCGGTTTGGGAGTAGCTTCGGTTTGATTCCGAAAATTGACTTAGACAGTCAGAGTTGCAATTGAAAACTGGGATGAAGCTGGGACAATCCCAGTAACTTGCTGCCGCCGCCCTCTTCATTCTTTGCATTTGGAGGCCATTTGGGTGTGTCTTTGCTTAGGGGCACCCCCAAAAAATGGCTCTTCTCCTTTTGGCCTCCCCTGGAAAACCCACCAAAAAGGTGTTCCAACTCCAAAAAAGACGGGTTTCCCTTGGATGGAAACCCACCAAAACGGTGTACCAACTCCAAAAAAGACGGGTTTCCCTTGGATGGAAACCCACCAAAACGGTGTACCAACTCCAAAAAAGACGGGTTTCCCCTCAGAACCCCCACCAAGAACGGTGTACCCAACTCCGAGAAAAAAAAGAGAAAAAAACGGGAAAAAAAGAAAAAAAAGAAACCGAAAAAAAAAAAAACGAGCCGCCCCTCGCCACTTGTCGCCCAGGTGGGGAGGCGGCCTTTGAGGACTTGAAGAAGCTCGAGGAGTTGCAGCTGCTTTGCCCAGGACGGATGCGGCGGAGCCGTCCATAGCGGGGCCCCAGGCGTTCGGTGTAAAAAAATTTGAGGGTCTCTGAGTTGTGGGCTGACCAAGGCTTGCAGTTGTAGATCCGCAAGCTCCCCCGTGTTTTTCTTGTTTTTTCTTGTTTCGGGTCTTCTCAGATTTCTGGACTGACCAAAGCTTGCTGAAGCCCCAACGATTTTTTATCGTCCATCATCGATCTCCAAGATCTCAGCGGGTGGTTTGGAGTATCGATCTGTTCCCCTGTCTTAAAGGAGATCACTTCCACGACTGGAGTGGCTGAGTTGTCTCAGAGTTGTGGAGTATCGATCTTGCTAAGCAGAGTATCGATCTTGTCTCAGAGAGTGGTGGCTGAGTATCGATCTTTTCCCCCGGGTTGTCTCAGAGTTGTGGAGTGACCGCTGGCTGAGCTTGCTAAGCTGAAAAGTGGCTGAAATGACTATAGTTTTCCGTTTTGTTGAAGGGAACCAGTTCACTGGAAAAAGATGCACTTTGGACCATGAACACTACATCTTTCCAGCCCAATTTGAAACGGTTCTTTGCTTGGGGGTGTCAAGGCAGGAAACATACCCCCATGGCACCAGGGGGTCCCTGGGATTTTGCCAAGACCAGGTGCCCTCCAGGTGCCTCTAGTGGGAGGGAGGGTACGCTTTGACTAGGGCCCCCCCCCGTACCTTTCTCTCCCCTTTTTGGTTGGGAGGGTTCCGCTACTAAAAGAGACTACAGAAGATTGGGTACCCTTGTTCTAGCCTCTCTACTGGAGGACCTAGTTGACCATGCAAAGATGGTTTTGCCTTTCTTTCTCTTTTTGGGGGGAAGAGGGGCGAGGGGGAATGTTCTGGTGGATAGAAGATCCTATGTCTTTGCTTTCAAAGCAGGGGGATCTGTTTTGTAGGATGTTTTGCATGAATCAACCAACATCAACCTCATCAACCGACAACCTCAACCGACAAACAAAGAGTATCTTTCTTTCGAAATGACAGTTCACAATCTGATCTTGTTTTTGTTATTTGCGTGTACCCATGCGTAAATTCAACGGGGGTGAACAATTTTGAGGCACGCCCATTCTTGTTAAACTCAGATGGCGTTTGTTGTGTTGTTCTTGCCCCCCCCCCCCCTGCACTCAGCCTGGTAGCAAACCCTGTGTTAAACGTCCGCACGCCCAGCCGAACGCATCACAGAGGGCATTGTTGGCAGCAAGGTATAGCAGGGTGTTGCAATTTGAAGCCATAGGAACAAATCAAGAAGGCTTCTTCATCAGGCATGTTACAAGACCCAGGCACGTAGTTGATTGCCCGTATGCTCAGTGTTGTTTGACCGTGGCGAGCTCTTGTCAACATCCTGCGTGACTCGCATGCCCCAAAGCGAGCCCCGTGAGCACGTGTTGCAGTCGATCCCACAAAGCAGTTTCCTAGAATTGCGGGCATTGTCTTTTCCCATCATAGGCGCGCTGTTTGTTGGTGGTAGAAAGAATTAGATGGGTTTCACTGGATTAGATTGGTTATTTATTCCATCTATTCCATCTACCGGGGCCATCTATTTTTCCGAAAGGTCACCAGTGTTGCCCTTGATGATGCGTGTTGGCTGGCAAAATCAAGGACGCGTGATGACCCATTCGGCTTGACTCGAGGGTCCTTTCTTGGAAATGCTGTGCAGAGGCACATGTTGGATTTGCCCCCTTGACCTAAGTGAGCTGCTTTGTCGTGTCTTTCTTTGGGGGACACCCCAGCATACCGTGTTGGTTTCGGAGCTCTATTGGTTTGTTGCGCACCTCAATTTCCGCTTGTGGACAAATGTGTATGTGACACAGTGAATGCTTGGAGTCATGTTGAATTACCTCCAACTACTCCACAGGGTGGGACTTTGTGCAAGGAGTTGCTCTGGGTATCTCGTATTGGATGATGTTTCAAAGCCAACAGCTAGCTGACTATAATTTGAGGAATCTCCGTGGATTTATGTTGCGTTTGTTTCTTTTTGTTTGGTCTCAGGGATCCTTCAATTATCCTCTTGAAAAAGGTGGTGAAGCAAACCTTAGGGGTCACCTCAACATGATTCTTCCATTACCATTTGCTTAAACATATGTGTTCTATTATTATTTTCCCCTGTTGGTTTTAATGACGTCGACTACTGGAAATATTTTCATGTTTGTCCAGGGGCTTGAGCAAATGGAAGGATTGATTCTCCTTTCGGGGCGATGATTTTCGGTGACACAAAAAAAGGCATCGCGTATTTTAGTTTGAGAGGTGGCTTGACTCATGCTATGCATGCGGACGCATCGCGCCTTTTGTTTGAGGGGTGGTTGACGCATCCTAAGCTGCACGCTTGGGCAAGATTTGTTGGTTTTTTCATCCACCAGACCCTGGCCCCTTTTGAAGGACAGTGGTTTAAGCATGCGGTCAACAAGGGGCTGGCCCGACCCAAAAGACCAGCCTTGTAGCAAGTGCGGTAGTAGGGGATGCAATTTTGCAGGGGCCAAGTAGCTGGACCCCCAAAAGACCCCTTTTTTCTATTTCTTTTTGGGTGAAAGGCAACAAAAAGGGAACTTTGGGGGGTCCAGGTAGCTGGATGTCCGTTCGGTTTTTTTTTCCAGGGGTGGGGCAAGGGTGTTGCAGAATTGAGCCAAACCAATGGGCCAATGGGTCTGTCTCCTTAAATGGGTTTGTCCGTTTGTTCGTTGTGATTCCATGGTGCATCCCAAAGATACAGTGGATGGAAACACGAAATCCTCTTAGGCACCACTTTGAAACCATGGTTGAAGCCATTGCTCGTTGGGAGGTGCAGGGGAATCAACATTCCAGGGTTTTTTAGGTGGTGCGAAATGGATTTCGCAACCACAGCACCTTCTCCCTCCAACAATGGCGGAAGCTGACGATACGAAGGTGCCGGAAGACTGGAACTCCTTTTGGGAAGCCTTCTATCCCCTCCCATGATCACGGTTGTTGTTGGGAAACATTTTACATTTTTGCTTATGGTGGTTTAGTGATTGAAATCCATCTACTGAACTGCTAAAAATGATATATATATATATATATGTCTTTGCTCCCCTTCCAACGTCAACCAAGTGATTGGAGGAAGGGCACCCCCAAGAAAAAGCACCCAATTGTGTGTGTGTGTGTGTGTGTTTCTTTTAGAACACTTCCTCAAGATGGCGCAGCATTCCTTTTTCGGTTTCCTGTTTGGTTCCCTGTAACACCCACAGAAAAGGGGTGCCAGCTCCAAAAACGACACCCCGCATAGTAGCCAAGTTGCCGGGTTCCTGGCAGGCAAGGCCTTACGCGCCGTATCTCTAAAAACAGGCCACCGCCAATTGGGCGCCTTTTGTTGGGGGGGGGTGCCCTTCCTCCAATCACTTGGTTGACGTTGCAAGGGGGAGCAAAGCAAAAAATATATATCATGTTTAGGAGGTCAGTGGATGGATTTCAACCACTAAACCACAAAAAGCCAAAATGTAAACAATGTTTCCCAGCAAAAAGACATACCCAAAGTCTCACTGCTCGGGAATGAAAAACGGAATGAACCGTTTTGGGAATCTCCCTGAAAAGACACCTAGGTCCCCGAGTAGTGCCCTTTTACCATTTTTGGGGGGGTTCCCCTACTAAAATAGACTACAGAAAAAAGTTGGTACCCTTTTCTAGCCTCTCTACTGGAGGACCTCGGAAAAACTAACTCGGGAAGGGTTTTTGTTGGTGGCTCCCAGCCATCCCCTTAGCATTTTAGCCTTTTAGTGTTTAGTGGTAGTATCCGTATTTGACCCACTAAAAGTTTGTCGCTTTTCGCGGGGGATCCGAAAACGGGCAGCCCAGGTTTTCTCGTTGCTCCATTTCTCCATTCCCCGCAGAACTCTCGCACCAAGAACTCTCCACCTCTCCACTTCTCCAGAATTAGCTCCCTTTTTGTTTTCTTTTGCTTTTTCGGGGTCCCTTTGTTTTCCACAAACCAGGCAAAAAAACAAAAACAAAACAAAAATTCGGGGTCCCTTTGTTTTCCACTAACCAGGCAAACAACATATATTTTGTTGCTGGGGTCCGATTCTTCCAGCCTAGTCCAGGCTGCCGCGTGGTGGCGGACTGCGCGCTGCTGCCGGGCGCGCCGGGCCTCTTGTGGCGCATGCAGCGAAACCTGGCGCCGCGGCAAGGGACCCACCGGCCCTACGGTGGATGGAAACACGAAATCCTCTTAGGCACCACCGTTCAGAAACCCTATGTTGATTCCCCAACGTAAATACCAATGAACGTTCTGGTTTCAACCATGGTTTCAAAGTGGTGCGAAATGGATTTAGTATAGGAGTCCCCAGTTGCAACCAGTGGCTGGCGGTGTTTTTGTTCAACTTGTTTCTGGAGTTTGGGGTTCGTAAAGTCCACCAAGCCAAACAGGACGCCGATTCCTTTTGCCCCAAAGGCCACCGGTGGCATTCGAGAGTCCGTCCTTTTCTGTTGATCCATTGATCCAGGTCGCAAGCGGTGCAAGATACGGTCAAGGCCTGTTCCCGGGGTCGAAGCCACTAGGGCTATGAGTTTGTGTTTGTTTGAGTTGGTGCTCCTGTTTTGTGGGTTTGAGTCGGAAATCCATGCACCGGTGGGTTGAACGACTTTTTTGAGTTGGTACCCCTGTTTCAAAGGAAAACCAACTGGCAACCCGAAGCCATTTTGGGGTTGGCCCCTAAAAACGACAAAGCCAAGAGGACAGCCATTTTGTGGGCCGGTCCCCCAGTTTGAGACACACCCAGATGTCCACCTTTTTGCTGGCATTTGCACATCACCTGTTTGGGATCCCCTAATCAGCTGAGGATCAGTGCCTTTTCCGCCCAGACTTCCAGTGCCCACATGTCGGATTTTCAGGTTCCGCTCGTCAGCTACCCACATTGCCTTGCTTCCATTTTGCCTCATCACAGATTGTCTAAGCTGGGTTGCACCTCCAAACCAAAGTTACCCCCAAAGAAAAAAGGATAGCATTTGTCTGCAGCAAAGTCTTGCCTCTTAAAAACACAACTGTTAAACTTTTTGGGTAACATGGGCTATATGTCTGTAAAAGATTAACTTCCCCCCAGGGCTTGGAGTTTTAAGGGGTAAGTGGAATTATTTTTGGCTGTCTATGCCATTTATTTTCTGGGGGGTAGTGGCTTACGGGAGTAGAAGTCATGGAGATGGGAACAGCAGCAGAAGTGGCAGAGTCTTCTCGGGAAGCAATTTTTAGTAACTAGACGGTTGGTTTGAAGAATTCTGGCAGTTTCCTTTATGTGAACGTAAGGTTCCACGTGGAGCTGGCAGGACATTGTTTTAAGCTCATGTGTCTTGTTTGATTCCTGAAAACACACAAGGGTGTGTAGTGGAACATGGCAACCTCACAGTGCTTCTCCGCAAGGACGGCAAATTTACAGGTGCTCTGTTTCTCGATTAAAAGAAAAAGCTGGATTTTTCAGTGAACAGTTCGAGGTTTTGTGTGGAGCTTGCGAGTTCAAAATAGAAGAACAAAATCGTATGAGAAGTGAACCTTAAAGGCCTTGTTTTTTGGGCATCACACCGGGCATCCATCGAACAGCTGCGACGGAGCCTGGTCTTGTGGCCAGTTGCTGGAGCGCTCATTGGGGAAGCTGTAGAAAGCCATTTGCTGAAATGTTTTTTTTTTTTTGTTTTTTTTTTACCCCGGTTGGTTTTAAGGGAATCTATCACTACTGGAAATAGTTTTTTGTTTTTTTGTTTTTTTTTCCAGGGGACTTAAGCAAATGGAGGTAGAAAATCTGTAGTTCAGAACAAGAGCTCGTGTTATCAAAGCCTATTTTCCCAATCGACGGGAACCGCGTAGACTCGCAGAAACCCTGCAGAACAACCTAGAGAAAAGACGGTTTCAGATGGGAAAAGGGTTGGTGCTTTACCGATAAGGGCTTTTTAAAGCGCCATGAACACGTTTCAATGAGTTTCCCGGAGTGACGGCATGTTTTGGTCTAACACTTAATTCAGTGTCATTTGGACTCGGCACACTTGACATTCCCGCTAAAACCTCGGCTTTGTCTTGAGGCCAACTCTTGTGTTCTCTTTGGTACATTTCTTTTTCGCGAAAGCCAAAACATGGTGGTTGTTGGGAAACATTTTACATTTTTGCTGATTGTGGTTTGGTGGTTGACATCCAACCACTTAACTGCTAAAATTTGACAATTTTTGCTCCCCCCCTACTCCAAATACCCGGCCTTTTTCTAGGGTATGTTTTGGAATACCAGTTTTTTCAAGGTAAATACCTCCTTTTCTACTAGAGGGTCGACATGATACCCTTAAAAAAGTGGGTATTTGGAGTAGGGGGTAGTTTTAGACACATGCAACGCCACCGTTCGACTGTTTTTGCCCCGAGGAACTCATCGAGGTGCCGGACTCATCTGCGATCGCACGGGGATTTGCGTGCCATAGGGCTTGGGATTCCTTTGTCCCGCACATATGGGTGTTGGCATAATATCCATTTTGGCGTCATGTACTTGCCCACATAAATTTAGAGTTGTCGCAAGCGCTAGGCGAGTGAACATTTTAATCTTCTCAAAGTTTGCTGGGGGTGGTTTTCCTTTAGACCAGGGTCCCTTTAAACATGTCACGTACAGATGCGTGTGGTCTCGAAGGCCAGCTGAAGGTCTCGAGGCACATGAGTTGACTCAGAAAATTTCTCGGTTCTTGGTTCCGTTTTTGGGCGTCTGGTTCTGTTTTGGCGCTTTTGGAAATGGTAGGGGTTTAGTGGAAGTCTACGGTTTAACCCACTAAAAGTTAAGCTTTCAGCAGGGACCTGAGGACAGCGCATTGTTGTCGCACAAAAAAGAACAAGGGGACTCACCAGTTGCCCCTTGTTGTTTTATTTGGGGGGGGGAAAGATGTTTCGTTTGTTCGTGGCTCACATGTGAAGCATCCACTCCAGCAGATCGCAAGCGCTGGACTGGAACAAGATGCGGTGGGTAAGGCTGTCTGTTCCCATGGTCAAGGGACCCCCAAGTCATCCTTTACCCACACAAAGGGAGTTGTGCCATCTACTGCCCGATGCACCCCACCACAAATTTGTGTGTAACCCCCTGTAAACCCCAGTGTACACCCTTTTAGCTCGATTGTTCCCAAGCTCTCGGATGTTCAACCTACTGAATGCTTAGGTTTGTAGCAGGGCTCCTTAAAAGATCTCCATTTTGCAACCATTTGAACCATGTGTTTCTTTTTCCACCAAAATAGATCTGGACACCAGCATGTACAAGTTGCAATGTTCAGTGTTTTTTTTTCATGTAAGGCTCCCTGTGTAGTTATGGTTATATATATATATATATATCCCAGGAATCACTTCCCTGCCGGTGGAATGCCCAAGTGCCAGGCTTCTGGACTGTCCCCAAAATGGCGAGCCATAGTTCTGAGTCAAGAGAATCTGCAGGACATGTGTTGCCCACATACCCGGTATACTAAACTTCCCGGGAATCAGTTCCGCTTCTTGTTTTTAGCTTTTTGCAGGCAAAACAGATCTCCTTTTTTGCTGGGGTGCCATTTTTCCAGCCTAGGCAACCGGCACTTCCCATAGACGCCTAGTTTCTGGGAATACAAGGGCACAGGTCATGGAGCTGCTCCTAGCACTCCCTCAAACGCGCCGCCCTCATGTTCAGGGGGGTCTTTTGCCACTTGTGAGGAAATTGCCGACCCCCTAAAAAAGGAATCCTTCACTACGAGGGGGTCGATCAATTGTCCACAAAAGGTGGCAAAAAGACCCTCCTGCTCATGTTTTCCATGTTTTGAGGCACACCTAAAGGCAGCTAGCCATAGACCAGTTTCCGCTTTGGATGTCTTTTGAAGATGTTTGGCCGCGGGATTTATTCAGTTCGGGGTCTCCAGCGATTCCAATTTAGAGACTGAACTCAACCGACCGTTTGAAGGGTTCTTTTATCGAAACCGCCAGCATCATTGATACGCGCGAAGCGGGCAAAGTCCAAATGACTTGCGAAAGTCATTTTACGAGAGCAGATCAAATTATTACAACTTCTTGGTGGGTCAATGCCTTTGCGCATCGCTTCGTTTGCAGCCTGAGCAAGGTGCAGGAGCCAGGTTTTCCTCCTGGAGAGGCACGCGTTTTATGGGAACGCAAACCGTTTTGGGTGGGTGCTGCGCAGTTTGTAGCAGTTTATTGTTTGACCTAGGCATGGCGTTTTCAGGGTGACCTTTTTGGGGCTTGAAAGGAATTTAGCCAAAGGAACCATGTGTTGGGGCAAACCGAGTTAGTTGCTTGTGCGGGGAGACTTTGGTCCTCCTTTTGAGTCATGTGATTCATTGTGCAGAGCTGTTTTGCTGACGGACTAGCAAAGCAAAATGAATTAAGGATCGTGGTTCATTCCCCATTCTTTTCAATAACCAGCTGTTTTCGCTGGGGTTCGGACATTTTGCTGGAAAGAAGGATCCCTGGAAAGAATGGAAATGGAAGTGTAGAGGAATGCATTCCTCTAGGAGGAGCGTGGACATGGTGCATGCGTTTGTGTAGACCCAGAGAATCTCGGCCGTAGTGCTGAGCAAGCCGAGCAGGCGCCCAAATGGCTATGATCAAATCACTAATAGGCTGTGCCTTTTTGCGGGTACCCTTTTTGGGGTTGGGTTTCAATTTCAAGAGAGCGCAAAGGGAAGCCAACGTGTGTGGGGTGAAGTTTGTTAAGACACACCCAACTACCACAGTTTCAGGTGGAACAGGGGTTGCTTGACTATTGGACAGGCTTGGTTCAAAATCATCTGTAGTCCTGCAAGATGCTAAGCCACAATCAAAACCTGGGTAGATGAAGGTTAGTAAGGGGCGGTCCCAGCCAGAAATAGTTGCGGCCGCCTTCTTAATTCTTTACATGATTCTGGGTAGACCATTTTAATACTGGGTGTTGATTGTGACTATTTCGTGGTTTCCCTTGCATGGCGTCCCACTACAGATTACGGAGGATTAGGGATCCCCGCCCATTTTGAAGCTGAGTTCAAGGCTTCGGGGGCGTGAAGCCTTCTCATTGTGGTTCTTAGGTGTCTGGGTTCAGAGTTCAGGCGGTTTACCTGGTGCTGGAATAAATCGAATCACGCTCCTTTGGATTGATTTGGGAAATCAAAGAGCCAAAGGACTACCTGGAGTCTCCCTAAGGACCCGAAATAAAAATGGTTGGTCATTACCCAAAAAAATGGTTGGTCATGGACCCATTTTTAGTTCGGATCAGAAGGAGACTCCAGGTAGACATTTCGAAGATTCACAGCTTCGGTCAACATGTCTGAATTTGTCGCTGGGACATGGTTGGAGTTTCCGCCCAACCCAAAGGCCAGGGGACATGGTCGAAATTTCAGTTCTGTCCTGCTGAGAAAACAAGTATGTTTTACCGCGGCTCACATGGCCACTCCATGTTTTTTGGTTTCCGAAGTACATGTCCCAGCACCCTTCCCCCCCCCCCCCGCTGCCGAACATGTAGTCGTCTGAGATCGCTAAGTGGTCATGCGACTGCTGCTTCTGCTTTCGGTACCAAGGGGATTGACCTGACAAAAAGGCAGTTGTTGGTCCAAACCAGGGTTCTACTTGTGGACTCCCCCCAAACAGAGAAAACAACCCAGTGGTCGATTTCCCTAAACGAACCAGCCGGGTTTAAGAAAAAAAATGCCTCGTCCGGAAGTAGAGCCCCGATCCAAACCGTGGGCTATGATTGGTCGACCCACTGAAAAAGGGATCGGTATGTACCCATGGAAACCCGAAGGGTTGTTTTCAGAAAATCCAACTAAGAAAAGGCCGGCTATTTGGAGGTTACGGGGGTTTGGGCCACGAGCAGCACTAGGTCCCCCAGTGCCCTTCTCTTTCCCCTTTTTGGGGGGAGGGTTCTCTTACTAAAATAGACTACAGCAAAAAGTGGGGAGCAACTTGTTCGAACCTCTGAAGGTATTGATTTACCATGGGTTTACCCTGGCTTTTCAGAAAACACCCACTAAAAAACTCCTCTGAACCATGGAAACCCAGGCTTTTCAGGAAAAAACAAAAACTACTATAAAAATCCTGGGTATTTGAGGAGGTTACGGGGTGACATGACACGCCTCGGCTTCGGCAGAACTGGTGGGCCTTCTGGCGCTGGTCGGAGTCTTCGCCTCCGGCTGCAAGTCCTCAGTTGGCCCGCCTGGTGGCGCGGGGCCCGGCAGACGGACTGCGTGTCGCTGAGCTGTAAATGAGGCAATGAACCTGGGGATTCGCGAATACAGAGGGAAACCAGTGGGATTGAATTTTTAACTTACTTCCATTTGCTGAAATGACTGGTTTTGGTTCTTTTCCTTTTTTCCCAGGTTGGTTTAAAAGGAATTTATCAGTACTGATTATTTTTGGTCTGAACCAAATGGAAGACTTGAGTCACTTTCTGGATGTTTGGACCATTTTAAGTCAATTATCACGATGACATTTATGGCCCAGAGGTACATGAGGTAGGTTCCCATGTAGTCAGTTGCATGTTGTACATTCAAGTCATTGCCAAAGCATGATTCAATCACTGCTTTGGCTCAAGTGCTGAAAACAGCGCGTTGCACCGCGCTAGCCCCAAGGTTAAGGGAGAGGTCGCAGTCACGGAGGGGTTCGTTCCTTTTAAGGTCCCGGGCTCCCCCGTTGTTGACAAAACTGTGTTTCCCTCTCCTTTGAGTGGTTATCAGCCGTAACGCTTTTCGGGTAAACGAACCCTTTCGTGACTGCGACCTGTTGGTCGCACATGGAAGTCGGCCCTCACCGCGGCACACGCGGTGGGAAAGGGCCGCGTGCCCGATTGTACAACACTCTGCAACAGATCGTCGTCGACGAGTACAAGCGGCAGAACAGACGATTCCGGTGGATCAGGTTTGCGGACGCCTCGAAGCAACAGGTCGAGGCGCTCTTCTCCTGGCGTGAGTCACTGGATAGTTGGCACCTGTGGAATTTTGACCAAGAAGCCTTCGACGTGATCCAGGCCGCGGACAACGCTTATCAGCAGCGTCTCGCATTGGTTGAAACCACAGGAGTGGTATTGCCGCAGGGTGCGCCATCTCAGGATCAAGCCGCAGCCTCAGGCGCGGCGGGAGCATCAAGCAGTGCAGCGGACTGGCTTCGTCCTCCGACGCCTCCATCAGCTTCCTCCTGGTTGCAAGATTCGCGCACTCCTTTGCCTCGCATTCGGCCATCTGCAGAGGAAAGACAAGCCGCAAAGTCAACTCTTCGCGGGGTATACGCTAAAGCTGCGGAAACGCGGCGGGAGAGCAGCAGGGAGCGATCAACACAAAGATCGAGGTCCCCATCGCCACGAAGGTCGAGGTCTCCGTCAACGTCGCCGAGACGAGGACCAACTGCTGCTGCCCCTGTGGAACAAAGGGCTCATAGTGTTGAACCCGCGCTTGCGCGGGAGGGAAGGCCATCCAGAACCTCCCTAGCCACTCGGCCCATCGTTTTGGCTCCACAGAATAGCATCTACCCTGTGACGAGGTTTGACGAACACGGCACCTGGGTATTGGTGCGGGAGGCATCACAACCACGTGAAGCGGCTCCTCATCGGCGAGCGCAACGGACGTCTGGGCAGCTTCGCCAAGCCGATCCTTACCTCCTCGCTGACGAGACGTGGAGGGACCCGCCAAGGAGGTCCTCCACGAGCTCACGCTCACGGTCTCCTGACCGCCGCCCGGCGCCTGCGGAAACCTTCCGCCTCGACGCCTACAGCTCGGACGAGGACCCACCGCAAGACGCGGAGTCCATCAGGACGGGCAGGTCAGCACACGTGCCTCGGCGCGTTTACGAGGCGCCGACTCACTCCGAGCCCATCGCGCTTCACAGCCGAAGAATCGGGGCAGTTCAACCGCCGCCCCCAAAGGCCGCTCCCAAGGTCATCTTCGGCAGCAAGCCACCGGTGCCCAAGGAGGTCCCCAAGGCAGTTTCTCCAGCTCCTGCAAAGGCAGACATCCCGAGGAAGTCACCGCCAAGGGCCAGATCTCCGGTTCGGACTCAGAGTGCATTCGGTTACAAGGCACCTCCGCGAGGCTTGAACAAGGCCGAACCCAGAAGCAAATCGAGCTCAAACCCGCCACAATTCGGGTACATCGTCAAGCCGCCACCTCCGCAGGTCGCTCAAGCAGCTGCTGCTAGCGCTGCAACTCCCGAAGCTGGCACGCGATTCCGCTCGCCACCAAGGAGGGCACCGCCTGCGCCCCCGCCGCCACCACCTCCGCCTGGAAGGCCGGTGCCGCCCAAGGAGCTTGTTGTTGCTCTTGACTGGCACGGAGTTCTTGACGTTGGGCAGCAGGGACCCCACCTCAACCCGGAAGTGATCCGACATCTCGTTCAGTTTGCAGCGGACTACGCACCTATAAATTTTATAGTGCTATCCTTCGTGGGCAGGGCTGCAAGCGAGTATCGCCGCCGCGAATTTCAGGTCGCCCTGGAGCACGCGCGGACAACATCTGGACTCACTTTTTCTGCGATAAAAATCGTTCACGAACGGTTGGGAAGGGGAGGCAAAGCAGACGCCCTGCAAGGGCTGGGCGTACACGCCCTTATTGACGATACAGCATCGATTGTCCGTGAAGCTCAAAAGACAGGCATCGCGGCGTTCCGCAATTATCCGCACTTCGGTCCGGGAGGTTTTGGCAACGCACTTGAGAACCTCGGTGAGTTCATTGAATCCCGGAACAGACAATTTATTCCGGCGGCGAGGGGCTTGCATCCATCGCAATACCTCGAGGAACTCCACCGATCTGCATCTCAGCTACCCGCCAGCCGGGTACTTCGGTAGCTATTGCTGCAAGCCGTTAAAACCGTCGCTTTGCGCGGTACAGCTTTTGCAATTACAAGCTTTCGATTTGCAGACAAATTCTCAATACAGCTTGGCAACATCTCTCGATAAAGCACCATAGTGCGGCAGTGCGGATCAATCAATCTACAAGTACAATTACAAATACAGAATTCATCAGGTGCAAAGCAGCAGGGCGCATTTTCTTGAGTGGCTCACTTGAGCGTTTCGCAACGTATTTTCTTGAGTGGCTCACTTGAGCGTGTCGCAATCAGCTGCCAATCCAGGGATATCTCCTCGTAGCACCTTTTGACACGCTGCTCAAAGCGCGTGGAGCTAGCTTCGTGTGAGTGCAAAAGTTGCATTGCTGTGTCATGGCTTCAACGGGTTTGTCACCGCCATCAGAACCCCGTTCAAGGTCAACCCCAAATAGGGATTCTGAACCGGATGACCCTGACCTAGCCATGGTTCCTGCAGTTATGTCCACAGTTCGCACATCCACACCTCAAAGAGCAGCCCAAACACGACCATCATCACCCCCGAGTGGTCCGATCGTGTCAGAACCGACATCATCCGAAGCTTCCCCAGTCATTCAGTTTCCTTCACAGGGATCGCAGTTACCTGACCCGATGACTAACGTACCCGCTGCGGCATTTATAGCTGGAGCTGCGGTGCAGCAAGCTCATCGAGCATCCGACCTCGCTGCTCAGGCAGCCAATCACGCCTTGCACCAACAGCAGGCCGCCGATCAGGCGAGACAAGAGGCCGGATGGATCAGGGAAAGGGCTGTAAGAGAAGTTTCAGACGTTAGGGTTCAGGCCGCTCAGCTAGCTTCGCAAGCACAGCAGGCTGTTCAAACAGCACAACAAAGTGAGGCTCAGGCTAGGCAACTCATTGAGCAGACACGACAGGAAGCCTTAGGCCATGTCGAGAACGCACGACAGGTTGTTAATGCCACTCAACAGGACGCTCAGCAAGAGGTTCAACGCATTGTTCAAGAGGCTCAACAGGCAATCCTACAAAGGGAGCAAACCATTGCCAGTCAAGAGCATACCATTCGTGGATTGTCCCAGGAAAATTCTGTGATGCATCAACGACTTGGTGATCTCGAACGTGTTGTTGCGCAGCTCACCCAACAAGCTCGTGCGACCCCTGTTCCGATGCAAGAGTCCCCGCCAAAAGCCGCATCAATAGCCGAAACAGCTACGGAAACAAGCGCGGCTAAAGCCTCAAGTCAAGGCACAGTTCCCCCAGGAACCCATCAGCCGGTTGGAGCACCTCAGGTTTCAGGTTCACAAGATGCCTCCGGTGTTGCCGCATCGTCGCAAGGGAATGCTTTTACAAGTACTATCCCCGACCCTCCGTGTGGTTCTGTTCAAAGTTCAGGACTTGGTCACGATGCCCCAGCTGATTCAAGGGACCCTGGTGGGGGTGCAACAAGTCAACATCTCGTAGGCCATTCGGCAGTGCTAGGAGCAGCGTCCTCTGTTGGAGACGCAGCCCCCGGCGCGTCGAGGACTAGCGGGTTGGGTAGAGACGGTCCAAGGGATCAAGCCGATGTGAGAGTGCAAGTGACGGCTTTAGCGGAAATGGTTCAGCAGCTTTCCCAATTGGTTGCTAATCAAGTGGCTCCGCCACCTCCGCCTCCGGCCGCACCACCTCCAGTGCCTCCCATTCCCCTTTTGGGGCGCCGCCTCCGCCGAAAGCTGGCAATGGCACTCATGTTCCACCAGTACCAATCACAATGTTGGGAGGGTTATACTCGTCATCCCCACAAGCGCCATCGGCAGCAAGCTCCGACACATCATCAGACTCTGATGGAGATGATGATACCCCACAATGTCGAGTTTGCGGCGGCAGCCATGAAGACACGGATTGCCCATACCTCACCATGAATGGTGGTGGGGGAGGTGGGGGAGGCCCTGGCCAGTTCCCCAATGCAGACCCGTCTCAAGCTGCCGATCCTAGTGTAGGCATGACCGTCACCGATCACGCCACGCATGAGGAATCCGTTGTTCGCGTCAAGGACCTCAAGGATCTCGTGTTGCCATCCCCTCCGGAGAACGCTGGACAGGCTAGAGGTTTCATCAACCAAGTTTTGATGGCCATCGGTCGACTCCAGAAGACCCCCGGAGATGAAGTTTACCAGTGGGCCCAAGCATGCATGTCCTCCACCGAGCAAGAACTCATCGCGGACAAGCGTTTCCCACGGTTAGATCGTGAAATAGCCGCAAAGCTCCTTAAAACCTGCCGTAAAGGTAAGTTCGGGCTCTTGTTTCAGAATATGGTTGAACAAGAGAGAATCTCGTCAGGTGGGATGCCCGTAGGGAGAATCATGTTGCGTGCTATCTTCAAGCACTTTCAGTTAGAACGAGGTAGGCTCGGAACCT